CTGGAGGTGAGGGAGGAAGGGCCGAGGCTGGCTGCTTCAGAGGCACGTGTGTGTGTGTGTGTGTGCGTGTGGGTGTGTGTGTGTGGCGGGGTGTGGGGGAGCCAGGCTCTGACTTGCTGAGACCAGGCAGCAGCGAGCCGCCTTGGGGCTCCAGACAGTCTTTTGGACTCAGACAGAGCCTGGTGTTGGCTGAGGTGCAGGTGCTGCCTCACCTCGGGTTCAGCGCTCTGTGTCTACACCCCTGGCCACCACCCACAGTGCGATGGAGCAGGAAGGCTGCCAGGAGGTCTGACCTGGGAGAAAAGCAGCACCCCCTTTCCTTCGAGCGAGGAATGGCCAGGGAGTCTCCCAAACAGCCAGGGTCCCTGCCCCCCCACCCCCGACCCCAGGGAGCGGCTGCCGGATCCTCCCTCGGCCTCTGTCCCTCCTGTTGACTGGTCAGTCTGGCACCTGCCAGCCTCTCTGGGAGCAAGTCCCCCCGCCTCCCGACCTACTCCCTGGGCTGCAGTGCAGCGGGAAGTTCCCAGTTCTCTGCACAAGCCTTGCTGTGCACCCGGCTGGACCCACACGGCCAGACAGATGCCTCAGCACCCACTCAGCTCTTGACCCCTTCCCACTCAAGCCTGCACAGAACCCACAACACTTTGTCGAGGATAGCTTATTTAATGCCTCAACTAAAATGTAAACCTTAAAGATGAGGACTTTAAAAATGCATCTTATATACTAAGTTTGGTACAGGTAAAGGGTTAAAATCATATTAACCAGGGAGAGCATATGCATGTATGCAGAGCCCATGGACACAGACAATAGTGTGGTAAAGGCCTGGGAGGGATGGGTGTGGAGTGGAGGGGTCAATGGGAAAAAAAACACAAAACAAAAGGGACATCTGTAACACTTTCAACAATACAGATAAATTTTTAAAAATCATATTAATTTGCTACATAATGGGAAGGGAGTAAAGAAAGAAGAAAAGAAACCAGGGGTGGAAGGGAGGGAGATGTGAGGTGAGGGAGGAGATGAGGCAAGAGGGGGAGGGTTGCACCCAGGTGGCCTTCCTTGGAGACATCACAGGCCAGCGGAGGCCCAGTGCTGCACGGGAAGCATGCGGGCTCTGAGTTCAAATCCCAGCGCAGCCTCATGCTGATGGTGGGTTCAGACCAGTCTGTCCAGTGCTCTGAGCTCAGGTGGCGCATTTTGAAAGCAGGGATAACATGTAGCTGAGAGGCATGTGTAAGAGGATTGGAGAGAGGGACGGGGAGCACGTGGCACATGGACATCGGCTGGCGGGCTGCAGGGCTGCCTTCCCAGGGGCTCCTTCTGCTCTTGGAAAGCAGAGAGTGCAGGGCTGGTGAGATTGCATTGGGGTGCCCATCACCCACCCTGACCGTAAAAGTCAGTTATGAAAATATGGGCCTTGCATGAATAATGACTTGACTAATTTTTTCAGATGTTAATAGTGTGTACCAAGAAAATAAGAGATTTCCCCCTGAAAAGACTTTGTTGTTGTTTTTCAAATTACTTTAAAATTTATTTTATAGAGAGGAAGGAGAGAGAGAGAGCGAGAGAGAGCGAGAGAGAGCGAGAGAGAGAGAGAGAGCGCGGACCACATGCAAATACAAATATTGATGTGGCCCTACCGGGGATCAAACATGCAATCTCTGGCTGTAGGTATGATGCTGCATCCAGCTGAGCCACCCGGCCAGGGGCTGGAAGAACTTTCCATATTCTTGCTCTAACCCAGGGGTCCTCAAACTACGGCCCGCGGGCCACATGCAAATACAAATATTGTATTTGTTCCCGTTTTGTTTTTTTACTTCAAAATAAGATATGTGCAGTGTGCATAGGAATTTGTTCATAGTTTTTTTTTAAAACTATAGTCCGGCCCTCCAACGGTCTGAGGGACAGTGAACTGGCCCCCTGTTTAAAACGTTTGAGGACCCCTGCTCTAACCTAACAGATGACGGAGATTCTATGATGCTCACCTGAGTTTTAATCCACATTCACTCTGAAAATCCTGGACTTGTAAGCCTGAACAAGTGCACCTTGGCCTGGGTCTGTAAGAGCTTTAGCGAAGGCAGAAAACGACACAACAAGCAGTAACTGTGCCTGTGACTAATCCTCTGACACCGATCCTTCCCTGTGATTTACTTACTTATTTATTTTTAAATATTTAATGCTGAGAGTATTACAGATGTCCCCCTTTCCCCCATTGTCCCCCTCCACCTGGTTCCTGTCCCGCCCCAGGCCTTCCCCACCCTATGGTCTGGGTCCATGGATAATGCATGTATGCATATCAGTTCTTTGGTTGATCTCTTCCTGTTCCCCTCCCCCCTTCCCTCTGAGATATATCAGTGTGTTCCATGCTCCCATGCCTCTGGTTCTATTTTATTCATCAGTTTATTTTGTTAATTTATTTTGATTTTTAGATTCAATTATTGATAATTAATGCATTTTTTTGACATTTTATTGTTCATTTTTTAAAAATCTTTTTTTCTCTCTCAAAGAATACCCATCAACATTTCATGTAATACTGGTTTGGTGTTGATGAATTCCTTTAGCTTTTTCTCATCTGGGAAGCTCTTTATCAATTCTAAATGACAGCTTTGCTGGGTAGAGTAATCTTGGTTGTAGGTTCTTGCTATTCATCACTTTGAGTATTTCTTGCCACTCCCTCTGGCCTGCAAAGTTTCCATGGAGAAATCAGCCAACAGTCGTATGGGCACTCCCTTGTAGGTAATTAACTTTCTTTTCTCTTGCTGCTTTTAAGATTCTCTCTTTCTGTCATTATTTCTTCAAATAGGCTTTCAATGTCTTGCTCTCACTTCGTCTGGTACCCCCATGATGTGATGTTGTCACATTTGAAGTTGTCCCAATTGGCTCCTTATACTATCTTCATATTTTTGGATTTTTTTTCTTTTTGTTCTTCTGATTGGGTATTTTTTGCTTCCTCATATTCCAAATCGTTGACCTGATTGTTGATTCCCTATAAATTACTATTTATTTCAGTTAGTGTATCATTCATTTCTGTCTGATCCTTTTTCCTGTGTTTGATGTTCTCGCTAAGTCCCTTGAGGATCTCATTAAGTTTCATGAGCTTCCTTATAACCATTGTTTTGAACTCTGTATCTAACAGTTTGCTTGCTTTCACTTCATTTAGTTCTTTTTCTGGAGATTTCGTCTGTTCTTTCATTTGTGCCATGTTTCTTTGTCTCCACATTTTGTCTGCTTCCCTGCATTCGTTTCTGTGTATTAGGTAGAGCTGCTATGTCTCCTGGAATTGGTAGAGTGGCCTTGTATAGTAGGTGTCCTTTAGGGACCAGTGGTTTAGTCACCCCAGTCATAGGAGCTGAGCCTTCTAGGTGAGCCCCTGTGAGGGCTGTGTGCACTATCTTGTTGTAGTTGAGCCTTGATTGCTGTTGGCATCATTGGGAGGGATTGAACCCAAGGCCAATTGGCTGGGAGGACCAGCAGCAACTACAGTGGAAGAGCTGCTGTGCAGGAGCCTCTCTGTGGAGCAGGACTTGCTTCAGTGGCGCTTTGGAGCTCACTGAGTCTGTCCCTTAAGTGTGTGATTTGTGGATGTGTAGAGTTGTAATATGGTGTGCTCTGAAGCTGTCCACGGGGTGCATTGCCTCTGGGGCCTCCCAGGAGGTGCAAAGTCAGTCACTGCCTGTGCCCTGCCTGGTAGGAGCTACAGAGGGATCTGCAGATGGCTGCTACTTGTGTTGGGCTTTGGGAGGTAGAGGGCATACTGACACCAGTTACTGCTTATTTGAGAGATTTTAGGTAGGAAAGTCTGAATCCTGAGCCAGGATAGGCCATTCATATGGAAAAGCTGCTACAAACAGCTTGGGTGGGATTGAAAATTGGGTGGGGCAGGATCTCAGAGAATCACCAGGGAAGTAAGTCCAAGTAAGTCCCTGTGAAGGCTCTTTAAGAGGAACTGCCTGGGTCTCCAGTAGCTTCTGTGTCACTTAGCCACAGTTCCCAATGATTTTTACAGCTTAAAGTTTTGGGGGCTTCTCTTCCCAGCACTGGGCTGGGAGCCTGGTGTGGAGCTAGAATCTTTTGCTCCTCACGGGAGGCCTCTGCAACCTAGCTATTCCTCCAGATTAAAAACATGTCACACATGAGTGTTGGACTAGCCCAGTGGTCGGCAAACTCATTAGTCAACAGAGCCAAATATCAACAGTACTTCTTTAAAATAGACTCGCCCAGGCCAAAAACTGACTTCTGCGCATAGGCCACAAAGTTTCAATCGCACTGTACGTGCTCCCGCATGTGGTATTTTGTGGAAGAGTCACACTCAAGGGGCCAAAGAGCCACATGTGGCTCGCGAGCCCCAGTTTGCCGACCACAGGACTAGCCCATTTGGTGCCTCCGCCCCTCCTAGCAGTCTCTATGTGCTTTCTTCTTTACTTCTCTAGTTGTAGGACTTCCATTCAGCCAGATTTCATGCAGCTTTGAATGAGGGTTGCTCTGTATTTTAGTTATAATTTTGATGTGGTTGTGGGAAGTGGTGAGTACCAGCATTTATTTATGCCGCCATCTTGGTTCTCCAGCCCACTCCCCTGTGATCTAACCATCTCTCCCCAGCAGCACCTCTCAAGGTCAAAGTCAGTTGATGTTGGTGTGTTTCACTTTCCTGGGACCTGTCCCAGCCCTGCCAGGGGGTGCTTATGAGCAATAAAATAATCAGAACAAACAAAGAACACCTGGACTATCCAAAAACGGAACCCTTTGATTCATGTGAATTGGTCAAAGCCTCCCTTACCTGTTACAGGTGCTGGACTAGGAAAGCATCATGGTTTTAAATAGTCACCAGTGATTCTCACCAGGGCCAGCTCAGTAAAGATTTGTGCAATGAACAGAGAAATAAATGAAAAAAATGAATGACTAACTGTATCAGTGGAGGGTTTATAAGCACACAGCACAGCTTTATGTCCTTCCATCTTCCTCCCCAGCCCACCCCCAGTCCAAATCACCTGTTCATTCCTTACCCTCGTGATCAGCTCCCCGACCATTCCTGTCCAGGTGCCATTGGCCTCGGGAACGCCATACACGCCATCCCCAACCAGGCGGATCCTGTAGTTGAACCGGAGGATCTCTGCTAGCTCTTTGAGCATGTCCACACAGAAGCCCTCGTAGCGGTCATTGCCTTCCATCTCCTGGTGATTCCCCTTCAGCATTAAATATGGGTTTTCCTGCAGCAAAACTGGGCAGCTGTCATTCTCATCTCAGCCCTGGTGTCTAAGCACATGAGATGGGACCCGGGGCACAGGAGGATCGGGAGGCGATGGGGAGATGAAGGGAAGTGGACTAGCTGACAGGCTGCTTTGGAGGTGGTGACTAGCTCCCCTCCTCCAAATTCAAAGCACTTATCTTACCAGGAACAAACAAGAGTCCCCCTGCAGAGTGTCAAGCTGAAGGCCTTCTGCCTTATATAAGGTCATTGCCTGACCCCACCCCCCTCTATCCCTTGTCTGTTTGTTTGTTTATTCCACACGGACCTATCACTGAGCAACAAGAGATACAAGGATGCTGAGAAGACAGCAGGCCAGGTAAGAACCTGTGCTGAGCACCTGCAGCCACGGGGGAGCTGGTCCAGCCAGGAGTGTTGGGAAGAGGGATAGGGCCTCTGGAAAGCTCCGTGGAGGAGGTGGGGCGTGAGCTCGGTCTGGAGGATGACAGAACATTGACCGATGGAAGGGTGTGGATGGCAGGCCCCACGGGCGTGATCAAGGGCATATCCTGAGTGAGGCCATGCAGAGGCATTCAGAGGACAATGGGCCCTCCACTTAGGGAAGCATGGGAGAGAGGGGCCAGAGAAGAAATGTAGGAAGATGAATTAAGGTCAGCAAAGCCTGGATGCCAGCACAAGGTGACTGTACACCACACATATAGTAGGGAAGCATTAACAGTTTTAAAAACTTAAGATTTAAATGTAAAATATTGAGTAGCAAGGGACAGAATGTCTGGGGGTTAGAACAGACACTCCCTAATATGAAATACTGAGTCCTGAGCCGTAGTTTGACTCAGGTGGGACACAGAGAGCATCAGGTGTGGTGACAGCCTGGGTGTCAGGCACACAAGGGTGGGGCCCTCAGACCCTTGGAGCCTGGGTAGATGACTGAGGGTGGCTTCTCACGGCCAGGGATGATTTGGAAGGAAAAGGATTTGGAACATGTTGAATCTGTTTAAAATGTGGAGTAAGGGCAAGGTTGGGGCTGAGGTTGGGAGACTCTTGTAGCAGCAATGGCTGAAGGTCCAGAATCTGTGAGGCCACTGAGAGGAAGAAGCCAGGAAGGACAGAGAGGGGTTAGCAGACCTCATGGAGACAGTGATGTTAGGGGAGTGAGGGGAGCCACAGAACACAGAAGAGCATCCAGAAGAGCTGAGGGTCAGAAAGTCAAGGGCCCATCAGTCACGAAGGGAAGTCTCAGGCAGATGCCCACACAGACAGGCAGGCTCCGAGAGGCAGCCTTGCGCAGCAGAGTGGGGAGGCGGGGCGGCACCCATAGGACAGGAGGGAATGCGCCTGCACAGGAGTGAGCAGCTGCGAAGCTGGGAGAGGAAAGCCGCCGGCAGAGCATCCCCAACCCCCAGGCGCATCTCTCTGAGCTTCAGCTCCTCATCTGCACACCCGGTGGGAGGGTGCCCAGGGCCCATAAGCCCAGGAGGTGTGGCTCTGTGATTTGGTGGCAGCGAGAGGGCAGTGCTTGTGCTTCAGGTGGGGCACCGGGCTCAGGGAGCGGAAGCTGGAGCTGAGATGGGAACTGCTCGCGCTCTGCCCTTTGCTTTGGTGTTCCCTCTGCCAGGACGTCTCCTCCCAGATGACTTGGCTGCCATGTCTGTCCTGTCAGGTGTCTGCTCAGACCTCCCCTCAGGGAGGCTCTGCCCACCTGGGTGTTTACACTGTCCGCCCCAGGCCTGTCTAGTGCGGAGCACCAAGCACACCGCCCAGCACTAGGGATAATAAACGCCCATCGATGAACAAACAGACATGTCCAGTGACACCTGGCTCCCACCAGATACAGGGAAAGCTCAGCAGCCTGGCCTTCAAGTCCCTCCACAGCCCAGACCCAGCCTGCGCCTCTGGCCTGTAGCTCACATCCCCCAGGGGTCAGCTCTGGGGAATCTGCCCTTCCCAGCATTTCCAGGCATTGACCATACTCTCTCTGATTCATTTCTCCCCCCCCCCCCCCCCCC